TGTGGGTTTGCACAGCAGCCTGTGTGTTCTGTCAACAGCTCAGATCCAGCTCTCCTTTGTTTTTTTTTCCCTGTCTTAGTCTTGGTCACAACGAGAGGCCCCAGTGGAGAAAGGATCCTTCCACCTCTGTACCACAGAGCCCACAGAACAGGTGGTCAGAAAGTGGCAGCCAGCAGAAGTGGCAACAGCAGGTGGCATTCAGGCTGTGCTCAGGGACTGACACCGAGCGCAGATGATGAAGCACCTTCTTAATGAATGTGACGATGACCCATCCCTCTGATTCTCAGCAGAGTGTCCTATCTGTCAGTTATCAATGCTGTATTATTGGTATCATAATCACCAAAATCGAGAAGCTTTATTGAGGGAAGTCCTGGGTTCAACATTGGTCAGAGTGCTGGAGTGTCTTGGTGGATGCAGGGAGAGCTGATGGCAGAGAGGAGATACCGAGGAGATGAAGAACCAGATCCTTCCTTGGGGATCAAGGCAGCCAGAGAAGGGGAAGCCCCAGCTTCAGATCCCACTGCTCCTCTCATGGGGCCAGCCAGGGAACGGCAGCCCTCCATGCATCAGCTGTTTCATTTTTGAAATGGATATGATAGTATGTACTCTGCCCAATTCATACAGCGTTGTGACGGAGCCCAGATGAGATGAGCACACAAGTGCTTCTCAGTGCCATACAGGGCAATGACTCACTAGTTACAGTAGTGCCCAGCCCCACAGCACAGGCTGAATTCTACTGTGTTGAACTGTGCAGCCTGTACGGACTGATAGAGCAGAACTGAGAAGTACCAAATAGCTTCCAGGAAAAGGCAAACTTTGAGAGTGTAGAGGTTTTTTTTGAGACAGAGTTTCGCTCTTGTTACCCAGGCTGGAGTGCAATGGCGTGATCTTGGCTTGCCACAACCTCCGCCTCCTGGGTTCAGGCAATTCTCCTGCCTCAGCCTCCTGAGTAGCTGGGATTACAGGCATGTGCCACCATGCCCGGCTAATTTTTTTGTATTTTTAGTAGAGACGGGGTTTCACCACGTTGACCAGGATGGTCTCGATCTCTTGACCTCGTGATCCACCTGCCTCGGCCTCCCAAAGTGCTGGGATTACAGGCATGAGCCACCATGCCTGGCCTGAAATGTATGAGTTTTTAGAAAGGAAAGGGAATCTTTTAGGTCAAGGTAAGCAGCTAGGGTCTGCCTTTCATTCTGTGTCCACCGATGTATATTAACTTACTTAATCACCTCTACAGTTTGCATGGTTGGAATGCTTATCCACATGTAAGAGGAGGGAACTTTACATGGGCATCTTCAGATGGCTGCTTGGGCTTCCTCACAGTATGGTGACCAAGTTCCAAGAAAGGACATTCCAAGAAAACAAACTCAGCATGCAAAATCCTATGAAACCTCCACATACATACATGACACTTGCAGGTGTCCCATTTGTTGAAGCTGATCACATGGCCAAGTCTGGAGACAGTATAGGAGGGGGCTACATATAAGCAAGAATGCCCAAGCTACTGTTCATTTGGGCTACTTAAGAAAGTTTATCACAACAAGTGGCCAAATGCAACCACACCAATCAATATAAAGTCACATTAGCATTTTATTGATTAAAGAAAATTTTCTAATCTCATCTTGAATTTCCCTGTGTTGTAGGAGAGACCCAGAGGCAGGTATCTGAATCATGGAGGCAGGTCTTTCCCGTGCTGTTCTTGTGATAGTGAATAAATCTCACAAGATCTGATGGTTTTAAAAAGGGGAGTTTCCCTGCACAGACTCTCTTCTCTTGTCTGCCATCATGTGAGACGTGCCTTTCACCTTCCCCCATGGTTGTGAGGCCTCCCCAGCCATGTCGAACTGTAAGTCCATCAAGTCTTTCCTTTGTAAATTGCCCAGTCTCAGGTATGCCTTTATCCACAGTGTGAAAACAGACGAATACACCCAGGTACTCAGTACTTAGATCAAGAAACAAAGCATTGCCAGCACCCCAGAAACCCCACTCAGGCCCTTTTTCCCTGCTTCTCCCCAACCCAGAAGACCCACTATTAGCATAGTTTAAAACTTTATGGTGCTGGAATGAATGGCTTCTATTGATGGTTTCTTTTGGTCAACATTATGTTTGTGAGTTTCCCCATAGTGTGTGTATAATGATCATCTGTTCATTTTCCTTGTTGTGGGATATTCGATTGTATGACTCTAGCATATTTCAGTTATCTATTCTACTCTTCACAGGCTTTGTCAAGCTTCCAGTTTGGGACTATTACAAATAGTGTCACGATGAGTATGCCTCTTGGCGAACATATCCATGTATTACTGTCAGTATACACCCAGGAGTAGAATTGCTGAATCATAAGGTACACGTGTTTTTCATGGCCATGGCAAAACAACTTTCCAAAGGATGGTGTGAGTTTATTCTTCTGTTAGTAGTGTATGAAAGTTTCTGTAGCTCCAAACCCCTTTCACCCTTTTCATCATAGCCATTTTGATGGGTATGTAGGAGCACTGCATTTTGGTTTTAATGAGAATTTCCATAATAGCTAATGAAGTTGAGCACCTTTATGTAAGTTTATTGAACATTTGAATTTCCTCTTTTGCTTAATGACCTCTCAAATGTCCTGCCCATTTTGAAATCTGATTATTTATTTATTTATTGAGACAGGGTCTTGCTCTTGTTGCCCAGGCTGGAGTGGAGTGGCGTGATCTCGGCTCACTGCACCTCTGCCTCCCAGGTTCAAGCAATTCTCCTGCCTCAGTCTCCCAAATAGCTGGGATTACAGGCGCCTACCACGAGGCCCAGCTAATTTTCATATTTTTAGTGGAGATGAGGTTTCATCATGTTGGCCAGACTGGTCTTAAACTCCTGACCTCAGGTGATCTGCTCACCTCAGCCTCCCAAAGTGCTGGAATTTCAGGCATGAACCACCATGCCCAGCCTATTTTTCTCTCTTTTTTTCTTTGTATGGATTATGAGTTCTGTATATATTCTGGATTAATCTTTTTTTGGGTCTGTGTGATTCATTGTACTCCATGCAGAGCTGGTCAGAGCAGTGGCTGGTACAGACCAAGTAGCTGAAAGCTGGAAATAATTGAGGAACAAAAGAAAGTATCTGATACACCTGGCTACTGAGACCTCTCACCTGGGTGATTTCCAGGGCTTCCCACTGCCCAGTGCAGCACCTAATCTTAATAGACACCCAGAGTATTTGTTGAATGATCTTACTGTTTCTTCCTTTAAAAATCTTCCTGATAATGTTATTTTCTACAAAGGGAACCTTTCTTCTCTAATGTCATCTATCACTGGAGACAGTAGAAAGACAATAAGACTACAGTTTGTTATGAAAATGGAGTAAAAAGATGGATTTGAATGCTGTTCTGATTCCCACTTGTTTGATGACCTTGGGTATCTCTGAAACATGACGATCTCATTCATGAAACAGGGGTCATAATAGTCCTACCAAATAAGGTGTTGTGAGTATTAGAATGAGTAACTCTACGCTGGGCCACTTAATAGAATATCAGGTGCAAGGAAGCCCTCAGTGAAGGTTAGCTCCCAGCTTAGCTCCTGATACTGTCATCATCCTTGTCATCATCGCCGTTGTTATCTTAGGATTCTTAGGTCCCTGCTTTGCCAACCTTCAGTTATGCAGCAAAGCTTCTTCATCTGGATAACAGAAGTAAGAATGATCTCTTCCTAAGACATTTGGAAAAACAGGGTGAAATAAATTTGTGAAAAATCTTGATCAACTTTGGTCCCATCTACAAAGATTGGGGTCACTATGACTCTGATGGCCCTCATAAGTCCCAAGCTCTGTAACTTTAAAAACATATTTTATAAAGGGGGAGAAGGTGAGAGTGATTTAGATAGAGGAGGGGATGGAGATTCCTCTAAATAGAGACAGAGACTTATGAATATGTATCCCCAGAGCACTGCTTCACCGGATCCCCAGGACGACTCTCCAAGGGAGGATTTATTAACTCCCTTGCACAAATGAGGAGAAGAAAGCTCAAAGAGATCAGGAAATACACCCAAGATCACAGGACAAGTAAATTACAGAGCCCAGGTCTGTGTGCGTCCCAGCCCCCATCTCCTTCCCCAGTCCAGCTCTCCACTTTCAACAGGAGGAATGCTCTAAATCGCTAGATGCGCAGAGTCAGTTTTGCTCAGTTTAAAAACCAGAAATTAATTCTGTGCCCATGGGAATGCTCTCAGAGCGGAGATAATTCTGCACTATATCCTTGTGTATATTTTCAGTGCATCCCCAGTTCCACCTGGTTTGGAGCTATAAGTCAATCTTTCAGCCACTAAGCTAAATTCCCAGGGTGCTCTTAAGATACAGAAATTCCAGCAGTAAATAGCAAAGCTGTTAGAGCAGATTAAACTTGCCAAAGTGATTTGAGCCGAGCTGAGAAAAATGGACCCCCTTGAAATGATATGCTATCAGCCAACAGTAACATAACCCTGGAAACAAACCTTTTAGTTTACCGTTCAGCAAGCAGCACGCATGGTTAGGAAGGAGACTTGGCTAAAGTGTAGCAGCCACAGAGGGTGTGGAAAATGTGAGCTGTACTTCATTTACTTTTCATTTTTTTCTCTCTCTCTCTCTTTTCCTGATTAAATGATTGTGTGGGGAATTCCTTGATCTTGACATCTGAAATCTACAGAGTCTGTCTGGGAGGTGAGCAATGACAGTATAAGTGAAGAGTGTGATCAGAGAGAAGGTCAGAGTGTGATAAGGGAGTAACATGCAGACAGATGCAGGATGCAGGTGCGGGAAGACCACAGGCCCTGGGAGGTGCTTCCATCTTCATTTCGCTCCATTGCTCTTACAACAACTTAAAAATGGAAGACAAATGCTACGGAGACTTCATTTTTCTAAGGAGTTGATTCAGTTAAAAACAAACAAACAAAAAAAACCCAATGTGTGCTTACCCAGGTCAGCATTTTCCCTGTTGAGACAGGAGCGGCTGACGCTTACACAACCCACTCAACGCTTCTCAAGGCCCCTGCAGTTCCCACGGACAAACGCAAACAGTCCTGAGCAAATCCTGCACGCCCTGCTCCACTCTTGCCCCTTCTAGCTGCCTCTGTTTCTGAAGCCCAGGCACTAAGGCGACATTCTGGTAAGTGTCACCTCAGCTGGGGAGGAACACAGTACAGTGCTACAGCCGGGTGCCTGATTCAGTCACAAAACCATGCAGATGCTGGGGCAGTGCCCCGCTGCCAGGGCTACCTGTTGGTTTGTCTTTTCAGCTTGCATTTTGTGTCGTTGCCAGTCCTGCGTTTGAGAAGCACTGAGGGCACTTAGCATTTAAGTTTCCACAGTCTTCCGCCAGAAGCCCACCCCGTGGGTAGGCGCGGGGATTCAGGCAGGCTACTGCTTGCTGGGAACCACATTTTTCAGCCCGACTTATTCTCTCTTTTTCTCTCCTAGAGGTTCAAAAGCCCATTTTCGGTCTTTTCCTTGGAAAGGTGCTCCTAAAATCTGAAAGTATGCCACTTTAGGATGCAAGTAGATCTTTGTCCTGCCTGCCTGGTGATGGATTGCAGGGCACCGTTCCTGAGCCAGTGGCCTCAGTGAACACTGAATACTGCCTGAGTGTCCACGCTGCACAGGGAGAAGCCATGGTGGCAGCTGCAGAAGGAATGCCCGCCTGGACAGGTGAGGTGACCAATGCTGGGAAACATGCTTTCCGGTCCACTTGACTTCTTTACATCTTGCACTGAGACACATCCCTCCAATGGAAGCAGCAGTAGTGAACTGCTCTGTGGAATGATCGCCTTCCATGGAGTCTGAGGAATTCTTCTAGAAGATAAGGGGCTCTGGAATTCCAATTCCCATTGGTGCTACCCCATGGCTTCTCCCCATGCACGTCTGATACCACTCACTGGGCAATAGTTACTTGGCTTGTATTTCAGTCTGGAAAACAATTATCATACACAATAGGCTGCTCCTGGTGTCATTCACAGGCCCTTGGAGAGGAAATTCCTTGAGGTGTTATAAAGGGAGCTTCCATCGACAAATGGGTATTTCCGAAAGTGTGGGGAGAAGACCTGGTCCCCGGGCACCATTGTCAGCATCAGGTGAGTCGAGAGAAGGTGACACCTGCGGCAAAGTGTCCCAGCAACACACAGCAGGCAGGGACTGCACCTGCCTTGGCATTGGCTGCAAAGCTGAGGGACCCTAAACAGGTACAATTCCTGAGACTGTAAATAGAGTCAGCGACCTGGCAACTTCCCTCACCCCTCCCACCCCCCAGTCCGGGAAGACCGAGTCTCTCCAGATGCCCGGGTCAGCGTCTCCTCCTCCTAAAGGGTCTGGAGGATCCTGGGAGGGCAGGATGTGGGGATGTGAGCCTATCAGCCCCAGGAGCTGGGGCACAGCCTTGAGGTCAGCTTGCTGTAGGGCCTTGAGCCACTCACATAGCACCCTGGGCTGTAGGTTTGCCATCAGAAGAAGCACGAAGTCTTAGGGTCTTGCTGGTGTGACATTCTAGGATCCTAGGTGTTTGCTGTGTGTCAAAGGCATGCATCACAACAGGACAAATGTAGGACCAACCCTGCTGCAAGGAGGCACTTAACCCTCCACTTCTGGTGAGCTGTAAGGGAATTTCATTCCTAAAGCCTTAGAAGCAAACTTGTCTGTATTTCTGTTTGTTAAGTGCATTCTAAACCAATGGGCTGGCCAACGGGCATAAGAAGGCAATGGTGTCTCCCAAAATTCTAGACACAAGAGAAGGTTTTGGAACCAAGCGGGCAGCAGGACCCTTAGACCCAGTGGTCCCTTTGGAAGGATGCCAGCCTTCCTAATTCAAAGGAAACCCATGCAACAGACTGCTCTTTGTAAGCACCCATGTTACAGATAAATGCAGTGATCAGCCCAGGGCTTTGGGTGTCTGGATTTCAAACCAGATTCTTGCTTGCTGAATTCTGCCAGAGCTTGTTAATAACAGCTTGAAATAAACGACTTTCTCCCATTGTCACATTCAATACTTACCTTTGGAGAAAAGCAGGGGTCAGTTCTATCCAAAAGGAGGCTTGCTTAGAATAATCGGATATTTTACAAAGAGACATCCTTAAACTGCTCCCCTTAGAAAATGCTAAGGGACTTTAATGCGGAAATGCCACCTCACCCAGTGTGGCAAGAAAGCACTTGCCACAATCATCCCAACTAGCAGTTCCAAGTGACCTCAGCGTTTCCCCATGGAAAGAACAGTGGGCTTGCTGCACAATGCACTTTTCCTCACCTCACTTTGGGTTCCTGTTGATCATTTTTTTTCCTTGTATTTTGGAGACGAGACAGCCTGTTCCAAGTTCTGAGTCTGGGACGGTAGCAATTCTCCACGACCAAAACACTCTGCAGCTGCGTCCTTTGGAGCAGGGAACACGAGCTTCTTTGTTGACCCCTCTTTACCCCAGAGGCGTGTCTTCTCCGTTCAGTCCAGGATGTAGCCTGCCAGTCTTTGGTCAGGTCACAAATATGTGCAGCACACACCCAGGTCCTCCCTGTGACTGGCTGGTGTGGCCGCGTGCTCTCTGTCACCCCAGTGCCCTGGACCTCAGTATGCAGACAAGCAGCCATGACAAGCACAGAAATGCAGGCGCTGATGCCTCCTGTGGAAGCCCCCAGTGTTCCGGCAGCCCTCGTGTTAATTTAAGGAGTTAACTAACAATCTGGCATCATTGCTGGAAACTGGAGAAGGTGGGAGGAAAACCCTCGCTTAATTAAAAGCATATCTGCAAAAGGTCAGGCCTGGCAGGAGGATGACAAAGGCAGTCGGAATTTTAAAATCAAGTCATTCTCTCCTGCACGATTCCTTCCAGATCGTGATGGATTCGGGATGCTGGGTTTTCTCTTCCAACAGAGCCTGCACAGCTGAGTCGGGGTGAGCCAAGTGTTAATTCCTTCGTTGTTTTCGGAGAAGCAGGACTTCTTCCCCCGAGGTGACTCATTCCAACCCCAGGTCAAGAAGGAGGTGACTCTCAGTAAGTGCCAGCTCTCATTCCCTCTGGAAACCTGGGGTGGCCATGGAAAGCACGTGGTGAGCTCTGTGGAGGCCACGTGCCTTTGAGATGCTATGCCTTGGGTCAAGAGGCTTCTTTAAGAAATCACCAAGACTGGAATCCTGTAGCAGCTGACGAAGTGGGGAAAGTGTGGGCTCAGAAAAGTGAATTTTTATTACTGACTTGATAGCCAGCTTCACCTTTTTGAGAAAAGAACTGTACACATTATTTGTAATTCCAGAAGACCTCCCCAGCGCCAATGGGGAAATTGCAGGAGGGCAGATTTGCAATGAGCTGAACTTTCCCACAGCAACACTATTCAGAGAGGAAGCAGCAGGCAGTGGGTCAACCTCTTCCTCCCCTGACATGCTGGGTGTGGGTATAGAAGCCCATCTCCTGAGGGTACTGAAGAGGGGTCCTTCCACAGGGCAGGGGAATGGGGCTAGGTTCATATCTGCCTATGAGTTCACATTCTTTGATTTTAGATCATCACACGATCCTCTGCAGAAAATGTCTCTTCCTCAGAAGCCTGAAAACAATTGTTTTGTACAATTGTATACAAATCAATTGTTTTGTAGATTGTATATTTGTATTTTGTTACTTATTTGTGACATCCATTTATGAATGAGAATCCTTTTGTTAAAGCAAAAGCATTTGAGAGCCGGACGCGGTGGCTCAAGCCTGTAATCCCAGCACTTTGGGAGGCCGAGGCAGGGTGGATCACGAGGTCAAGAGATCGAGACCATCCTGGTCAACTTGGTGAAACCCTGTCTCTACTAAAAATACTAAAAATTAGCTGGGCATGGCAGCGCTGTGCCTGTAATCCCAGCTACTCAGGAGGCTGAGGCAGGACAATTGCTTGAATCCAGGAAGCGGAGGTTGCAGTGAGCCGAGATCGCGCCATTGCACTCCAGCCTGGGTAACAAGAGCAAAACTCCTCCAAAAAAATAAAAATAAAAAAGCATTTGAGTACTCTCTGCTGGTCTGAGAACTTCATATTTCTTCAGTGAATCATTATAATCTGAGTACGTGGACGGCATCCTTGCTTCTGGCGCCAAGAAGTACAATCAACTGATGGAGAGTGTTTCTTAACTGAAAGTGGTGTTTCCAGTTGGCAAAACATAGATTATTTTTGCTATTAGAGAAATTGATTTCTTAAGAAGTGTGATTAATTATGTCTGCAAAACAGAAAATCCATCAAAGACAAAATGTTTTTCCCTTCAGAAAACACTTACAAATTCCTACAATGTCATTGACTAAATATGACTTTCTATTAATGGGCACCTTGTCTCCACAGATACATCTGGGCTCACTCTCCACGTTGTCTTCCCAAGGCTTTTGGGAGATTGATGACTGGATGACAAAATCAGGACGGCACTCGGTGACTTTCTGCTGGTTCTAGAGAATCCAAATGAAAGTTCTACCCTGAACCTGCTCTGCGAAGGGGACCCACATGAGGAAAATGATAAAAGATAATTCCATTTCCACTGTGAAAGGAACCTTGCTAGATAGCCTGTTGGCCTTACCTTCCAAACAGATCCAGAATCCCAGCACTTTCCCCTCATTCCCTGCTAACTCCCCAGCCCAGGCAGGGCAATTTATTGCATGCCCAGCTCTGATGTATGTGCAACGGTGCCCCTAGGATTGTGGGTGGCACAGCCAGCCTGGGGTGGCCTCGTGATAACCAGTGATATGGTTTGGCTGTGTCCCCACCCAAATCTCCTCTTGAATTGTAATTCCCACAAACCCCACATGTCAGGGGAGGGACTCGGTCAGAGGTCATTGAATCATGGGGGTGGTTACTGCCATGCTGTTTTCATGATAGTGAGTGAGTTCTCAAGAGATCTGATGGTTTGATAAGGGACTTTTCTCCCGCTTCACTCTACACTTCTTGCTGCCGCCATGTGAAGAAGGATGTTTGCTTCCCCTTCCACCGTGATTGCAAGCTTCCTGAGGCCTCCCCGGCCCCATGGAAATGTGAGTCAAAAACCTCTTTCTTCTATAAATTACCCAGTCTTGGCATGAGGTGGGACTAATATGCTCAGTGTCCTCTACCTGCAGTATATTTTGTATTTTGTATATGTTTTACTGCTTATTTGTCACATCCATTTCTGAATGAAAATCCTTTTGCTGAAGCAAAAAAAAATTGAACACTCTCTGCTGGTCTGAGAACTTCATTGCAGTTACCTCCCGGCCAGGCTACCGGAATCCACCTCCCCACCTTTCTGTTTATTCTAAACACAGCAGCCCGAGAGATCTTGTTGAAGCAGGCATCAGATCATAGGACTCCATGGCTCCAGTTCCCCCAAGAGCGTCTCATCTCAACCAGGGAAAAACCTAAAGTTCCCCAGTGGCTTCAGCTTCCCCCTCCCTCTCTGACCTCACAACTAACCCTCCCCTCTCACTCACCAGCTCAGCTGTGCTGGCTTTCTCTCTGTTTCTAGAAACTTACCAGATGTCGCTGGTCCCTCTGCTGGGAATTTTCTCCCAGATGAGCATGTTGACGGCGGGCTGTCTCGCCTTAAGTCTTTAATGCAAATGTCACTTTCTCAGAGGAACTCTTTCCAACCACTGTTGCTAACATTTCAGCTGCTGTTTTACATTCTACATCCCTCTCCCCTGCTTTAGGTTTCCCGTAAGACTTACTACTCCTGACATACCATGTACCTGACCTATCTGTCCCTTTCTTGTCTGCCTGCCTCCCAAGAAAGTGACATTTCTGACGGCAGGAATAATTGTCTGTTTGTTCAGTAGCTCCACGGCCTAGCACTGTGTCTTGCACATAGTAGATCTACAATGAATATTTTTAAATGAATACATGAATAGATGAATGGATGAATTTATGGACAGACGGATGGATAATGGATAAATGGTCGGATGGATGGATAGATGGATGGGTGGGTGGATGGATTGATGGGTGGGTGGATAGATGGGCAGATACATAAACAGACAGATGAATGGGTATATCCTTCCTTTAACCCAGAGAAACCACTATTGGCTGCCTAAACTCGAGAGTTCTGGGACCACCAGCAGAGATTCGGATTCAGTAGATTTGGAACAGGGCCTAGGAATATCATTATAATAGGCTCCCCAGGGTTCATTATATACAGTGAAGTTTGAGATCAAGGGATGACAGAGGTCTGCAAAAGGTTGGCTTGAACATCTGGCTGAATGATATGTGATGTGCACGTTAGACACTCAGGGAGCATTCTCTGGGAAGGACAGGATTTAAGGAGTAGTGACAATGGCCTTACTTTGTTTGAAGAGCATGTCATCTGTCATATGTCTTCCTTCAAGCTTTCACAAACTGTTTACACTATGACCCAAATTCCACCTGGAAAATGCATCGGTAGAGCATGTACTGTGGCCTCCTCTGTCCTCAGCAGCAGAGGTCATTTGTCTCCTCACTGCCTTGCTGGGAAAGTGATGGGAACTTGGAGCAGCAGAGACTTCTCATCACACATCAGGCACCTATCACCTGCTGTCATAATCAAACCTCACATTCAGCCAGCACCTTGCACGCTCTGAGCTCACCACGTGTCTTTGCACTGCCTTTTCAGGAGTCACTTCATCCTGTTCCCTGGCAGTTCCTTTTGACCCAGAAGACGCTAGCTCCATGTTCCACAGTATTTCATGCATGCCTGTCTCCTAGCCTTGCCAATACAATGTCAGTAAGAATCTGTGCACAAAGAGGTCCGGTCATCTTTCATCGCCAGGGCCTGAAATGAGTGGTCATTCAGTAAATGTTTGCAGGCAGGAAAGAAGGAAGTGTGGGGAAGGAAGGAGGAAGAGAAACCATAACAGAGTGAAGCCACAGCAGTTTAGCAGAGTAAGACACAAGGCACTGTCCAGATACAGCAGCTCACGCCTGTAATTCCAACATTTGGGGAGGTTGAGGCAGGAGGACCGCTTGAAGTCAGGAGTTTGAGACCAGCCTGAGCAACATAAAAGTAATTTTAAAATTAAAAAAAAAAAGACTACGAAAGCATTAATTTAACAAAGATGTGAAAAGCGAAACAGTGGCAGAGGATGGCAAGAAGAGTTGAGGCACAGCCGTTTAATGGAAGCTGCCAGCACCCCAGTAGCATCACCTTGGCACTCTAGTCATACACATGCCCATGGCTTGTGACCTTCAAACCCCTGTGCCTGCTGTGCAAAAGATTTCAATGGCGGTAGGGCCAGGCATGGCTGACCAAGCTGGGGACTTAATATCCCAGGGCTGCTCTCAACCATGATGGAAGGGAGTGAGTGCGTGAATACCCAGCTTCCCTTTCCCGCAGCAGAATGTAGCAGGATAAGCTCGAATATCCTCAGGGTCGGGCGACCTGCTTACAAGAACTCCCTGCCCTGGTTTTCCACCCTCCCCCCAACCTTTCCCGACTCACTTGGCATCGCTCTCTAGGATCACCTCTAAAATACATGACTTGCACTCACATCTTTGTTTTGGGGGCTGCTTCTGGGGGAGCCCAACCTAAGCCAGTCCCCAACTAGAATAAGTCAAATCACTTGCACGGATGGGAGACATGTTAGAAGCATTGTCTCTGAAGGCTCTGAAAATGGACAGAATTATTTAAAAACCTTGCCATGGACTGAAGAAAGCCTCAGATCTGGCACGATGGCTGCCCGGTTATAAAAATAGTTGAAAGTAATTGCATGCTCCCAACTGCCACCTTACCCCCATCTGGGTAATGCATCCCATTCACCACTCTGTGCTATGATTTCCTGGATCCTTATTTTCATCTTCTGACTCCTCGTCTGCTGTAGGAAAAGTTCCCATGTGCAGCTCAGAGCCTTTTTCTGTTCAACCAGCTCGCAAGCATCACCCACCCGGGAGAGCTGTGCAGGAGAATCAGGCTCTGTGCATCTACAGGGGAAAGCGACCCAAGCTGAAAAAAAATATTAAAAACTGAAAAGTACACAAAGTGGGGTACATTTTGAGTGTGTGGGCATGTATTACTTATTCAGTCTGAGTTTTTCCGTGAGAGTTACCGACACAAATGACCAATTACATAATGGCACTGTCCTGCTTCAAACTGATTTCTTGGCTCGAGGTAGGGAAGGCTGGCCCTGGGCTCCCCATTCTTCCTCTCACGGCGTGTGTCTTTGTGGGGTCACCACCTCCCCACGTCTGTGCTCCTCTCCAGAATGGCACCTCTCGAGAGCAGACACAGTGTCTTGCTCACCACCATCATCTCTACGACCCACCCAGTGTCCAGGGTCATTCCGGAGATGCTGGCTGCGTGAATACAGAGCGATGAATTCAGGACTTTTTGCTCCTTTGCTCTCTGTCCTTTAGGTGCCTGAAGACATGCACTTCCAGGAAATTCTTTTTCTAAGAATCTGCCTTTACAGAGATGCTTGCATTTTATAGGGATCATTGGGAGGAAAATAAAAGTTTACGTTCGCTCTTACACAGTCTGAGAATTTGTCTTTTCACCGAAGAGTTTAACACATTTGCTTTTCCATATTAACCCATTTCTTGGTCTTAATTCTGTCACTGTAATCTGTGGTGTTTATTTACGTTTCCCTCGTGCCTCCCATGTATTTCCTTTCCTACCTATCGGCAGGCAGTACTTGCTCTCTTTTTTGTTTATGATTTGTGCATTTTCTGCTTACTTCACTAACAACAGTAATGTTTAAGTTTGATTTGTGTACATATTTTTTAAATCAACATTTGTGTAAACTGCATTTTTTAGCTTTCTCACATAGGAGGAAAGCATTGACATGTAGCACGTTATTGGGTTTTATTTTCTTTTGTTCTATCTCCCTCCCAAGCTACTGGAAAGTCACTGGGAATTTAACATGCAGATGGTTATCATTAAATTATTTTACATTACTCTTTATTGCTTTTTAGTTTTTTTGTTTTGTTTTGTTTGTTTTGTTTTGTTTTGTTTTGTTTGAGATGGAGTCTCACTCTTGTCACCCAGGCTAGAGTACAGTGGTGTGATCTCGGCTCACTGCAACCTCTGCCTCCCGGGTTCAAGCTATTCTCTTGCCTCAGCCTCCTGAGTAGCTGGGATAACAGGTGTGTGCCACCATGCCTGGCTAATTTTTGTACTTTTAGTAGAGATAGGGTTTCACCACATTGGCCAGGCCAGGCTGGTCTTGAACTCCTGATATCAGGTGATGCACTTGCCTCGGCCTCCCAAAGTGCTGGGATTACAGGCATGAATCACCGCCCCGGCCTCTTTTTAGTATTTTTTTGTTTTGTTTTTACTTTTGCATTGAGTTGTATGAACTTGTTATCAATGTTTACTCACTCCTTCATGTCCATTTCATGTGGTTTATTTTATGCCTATCTTCCCTGTGAATGCCTTCCACATTGTGATCATTGCTCAGTTCTGCTCAGTTCGCAGGAGATCTTTGCTGGCAACTTCCGCAGTGGGGCAAGGGGTACCTTTCAGTTCCTGAGATCATTGTGACTGTGGCCACAGGAGGGAACGAGACTTGGCAAGATTGGATGCTGGGGCCACAGGTGTCCCCTCAACACCTGGAAGCTGCTGGTCTACTGTGACTGATCTATCTTGCTGCAAGAGACGTGTAATGCCTGTTTGGTTTTATTTCGGCAGGTTGCCTGTATTTCTGGAATTTTGATATCTTCAGAAATATATCTAATGTATGCTTTTCTTCTTAAAATCCAAATAGGTTCACTTTTTTTTTTTTTTCTGATTATAAAAGTAATAAATGCTCAGTTTTCTGGAGGAGCCAATCCACCATTGACTGCTTCGATTAGAAACAAAACAAAACTTACAAAGCAAGCTTCTCAGTTTATACTATTCCCTTTTCTCTAAAGAGTGTTCTCAGATCTCTTTGAGAATGTGAATTGC